ATGTCTAATTATTGATAAAATTCATTTATATTTTAAATTAATAAAATCTTTGTACACTTAGAATATCACACAAAAGTTACAAATGTCGAAAACTATTCTAATTTACTATTATGAAATATTTGAATACATGCATTTTTAATCTTGATATTGTATTCAGATAAATAATGAATTTGCTTGAAGTATATCAATTATTATCTAATGTTAAAGTTACTTTATACTTAAAACTATACATTGCAAAAAGCAAGTATAATTTATATGTTCTATATTTTTTTTTACAAATATCAGTGACACATATCATTAGAAGTATACTATCATGTAAATATAAAAAAATTGTCACATAATAATAAAAATAAGAAGTATACATGGTAAAATGTACAGGAAGACTAATATTTTTTGATTGATTTTCGAATCAGAGCCAATCTCTGTTTGTGTGCCTCTGTGACTGTCGCTCGTTTATATGGGCGTACTTCATCTGTACCGAAACCAGGAATCCACATATTCCAATTCCTTTCTGAAAAACAATAAAAATTACATGGTCTAAATTTTCATTCCCTTAAATACATCAAAGTATCATTTATTTATCATGTGGAATTAAATATCGCATTGCATTATTATATTTCATAACTTACCTAAATGTAATTGTACATCTTTTACTTCTACAGTATTAGCATGTCTGTGTTTAGCCAACAAACATGCAGCATTCACTGTTGTCTCCACAAAATCATCCGCTAACTGTAAGAGCATTTCTTCAACTTCTTCATCCAATTGTTCTGTTGGATCTACTTCTTTTACAAGATCTTGTAATCTCGTTTTAGTTAAGAACTAAAATCAGAACAAATTGATAATTCGATCGAAGCAAAATCTACCTTGTACGTAGCAAAATACGCACCTGTGGGAAATCATTAAAGGAACTTTGTTGTTGTTGTTGTGTTGATGTTTGCTGTGCTACCTGTTGTTTTGGTGATTGTGTTATGAATTGAGATTGTTGAGATTGTGTCTGAGGTTGTAAGATTTGTACTACTGTGTTACCACTTTGAATATTGGGCACAGTAGTTGTTGTCTGAGTATTAGGTCCAATTGATTGTATGCTACCAAGTACTGGTGTCATGTCAGATCCGGCGCTCGTAGTTTGTACAAGAGCTGTTTGTTGTGACATTTTGTATTCCCATCAATTAATAAGTTTTCTGTACTATCATTCAATGAATTTCCATTATTGTAACCTGCAAGTACTACCATTTATTATAGACATTACGACTCTACTATAGTTACAGTTGGTTACAGTGCGCAATGTGTTCATAATCACATAGTCACAGTCGCAGAGCATTCTTACAGAAGTGAAACTTCAATGGTTTTTAAGATCCAATGTCTAGTTTTCACAACGTATCCTAAGTACTCATGAGTAGATAGATTTGTACATTATGAACATAGCTTGAACCTACATATTGAATTAAAAATCACAATTTGACACGATAAAAATAATTTTTAAGGAATATTGAATTTATAAAATAATGTATCAATTTTTAAATTCAATGAATCAGTTTTAAATATTAGTACGTTTTCCAACATTTCTAATCTTTTGCTGTCCTAGATGAACTATTTAGTAAAATACTAAATAGTTTATTTAAATTTTAATTTATTTATAGCAATATCTTAAGTTGATACTGTGAAAAAACGAGAAGAACAAAGGAAGCAATTTTCTTGTCATTGAGCGCTTATGGACTGCAAACGAAGCTTTGAAATTTCGCCACTAGATGCGCTACTGTTTGACTGCTAGTTTTAGTGTTTTGTCACTTACTAATTGGCGCTATACGAACCTGACAAATCCTGAGCAGAGCTCTTTAGATTTCACCGCAAGCGAAGCCACTGTTTGGCTAGCAGTTTCAGCGTTTTGTTATTTACTAATTGGCGCTGTACGAACCCTGAACCATGTACCTGAAGTACTGTGCATCCGGATGTGGGAGCTGAACGAGCGCGAAGACAGTAGGCAAAATTTTGGCCATACTGTAAGGAGCAAGTAGTGCTACCAATTGTTGTCAAATTGTAAAATAACTGCTTGTTATTGTCGAAAAATAATGAAACTACAAAACACTTGCATCAAATGTGAGGAAATGGCGGCGATAACATAAATTGCAACGAAAATACAGTCACAATTTCACCATAAGAGGCACAACTATTGCGAGTACAATAGGCACTTTACCGTGCGTGATTCAAACCATAATATTTCTGATTAGTACAATTTTTACAATTAGTACAAATCGTCACACTATTTCTAATAATCTAAATCTTCGTGCCCTGTTAATTGTTATTCTACCTTGTAAAAGAGTATTTCTATTTCTAGATTCTTTCCCTTTTTCAGATTTCTGTTTCTAGATCTCTTCCTTTTAATACTAAGAAAATCTTGAAATTCTTATTTTTAAATACTACTGTTTCCGATGTTAATCTTAACGCAGGTATTTTAATTCCTATGACGACATAACTATTCTGAAATTTTGAATTTTTAAATGGAAAAGAAATTAAGAGATTAAATTTAATGTGAAATTATTGACCTTAGCTTGTTGTTGCTTCCGCATGCTTTACATACCCGCTTTCACATTTTCGCGCGTTATATTCTCCACGAACTCGCTACGGCTACGAAGAAACTCGCTAACATTTTGTGCCTGGTTGGAAAAATGAATGCTTGGAAGGGGAAATTGACGCATGAGGGGCCCCTCGTTTCGTCTCCTGGGGACATCGCTGGTTTAAAGTTTAATTGAACTTTGCGCTAAATATTTTTCCATCCCGTGACACTCATTCTCAGGGCAACTCATTTGTAAAACACGAGTGAATGTGTTAAACGAGTGTATGAGCTTTCTACATACATATTCGTGGGCGCTGTCATCGACAGATTCAAGATGGCTATGGTGCATTATAGAAGAGAAAATTCGAAACATTTGAATGAGAGTTTTTAATAATATACAATTGTAAATTTGTTACAACAAATTGGTTTTAGTTCTGGTGCATAAGAATAATTATTTTGCTCACGAATGTTACGCACGCCACGCAAACAAGTCGAATACCAAAATGACATTTTTCAAAGCAAGCTGATTAAGCGAAGAATCTCCGATGTCTGCGGGGAAGATGATTTCCTTAGTTTTGTGGCGATTTCGCCAGTGATCGAAGCTAATTAACCGGCTGTAACTTTCTCTGTCAAAAGAATTAACGTATGTAAATACATATATTTTTTTGACGACGGTATCATCCATTGTAAATTAAGTTAAGTTAAGAAACACGCTGTCATTTGAAATAAATATTCTATAACTACCTTCATCGTAATTGGATGAGTTAAATATCCACTGTAACTGTTAAATTGTCTTTAAAGTACAAACGCGAATTTGAATGATGAATGTCTATAATCTCGGTAAAGTAACAATTATTTGAAATAACTTTAGTAATATATATATATATATATATATATATTTTTAAATTGTGTTGACAAAAATCTTAATTTATTTTACAATACATTTATTTTGTAACTATACATTAATGTTTCTATTTCTAAATTAAGCTGTAAAGTAGTTTTTTCTATAAATAATACAAATTAAAATAACATTTGTTTTTAGTATTATTTGAATGTCAGATATGACTCCTCCTTTAAATCGAAAACGTAGCTCGTCTGTTAGTTTCACAAGAGCTAAAGATGATAGCGAAGGTGCTGCAGATGAAATTCATATATCTTTAGCACCATGCATACAAACATATTTGACACATAATGGTCAAGGTCGCGGATGTTGTGGAATTAGCCTTCCAGTACCATTTGAACGTGCAGCACCAAGGTCTTGGTGGAATCCAAAATTTGATTCTGAAATACTTGAAGAACAATTTAAAAGAAGTGCCTTTCCACAAATTAGATTAAGATTCCGGTATGTAGCATAATAACACACAATTTGTCTTATGCCTTATATGTATACGTATATATTTATACATATATATATATATTTCAGATATGCCTTAACATATATTTTATTGGTTTCTTTATCGTGGTTTGCATACTTTGTTATAATTGGAACAGAATATAATACTACATCATGGCCTGCTATAACAGTAGTATTCACAATTATTGGAACCATGGTATCGGCAGTCTTATATTTAACACATACAGATTATTACAAAACCTATGTGCTACAAATTTCATTAGGTGTTGCATTTATGCTTTGCATATTATCTTTACTTTTTCTTGCAATAGTACCACCTTACATAGATGGCTTAACTCTAGTCGGACATTTTGCATTGTGCTCAGAGATTCTATTACTGATTTACACTGTGTTGCCAATGCCATTATATGTTTGCGTGGGTATATCAACAGTTTATTCCTTTCTATTTGAATTTTTGACTGCCTACCTATATGGTACAAAAACTGCAAGACAAAAGTTTTTTAGCAAATATAATTTAACAATTAATTCTGCAGAAAATAATACTGCGCTAGATTATATCACAAATGTGATGCACAATGACAACGAATATGTAACAGCAAGTATGAAATCAAATATGAATGTATCATTATTTCAAGGTTCAAAGTTATTAAGCGAAGCTTTAAATGATACAAATGGTTTAAAGAACTTAAATTCCAACATAACATCAACATTAGCTAATGTTAATTTCATTATAAATGCTTCTACCAACAACTTAATTTCCAAAGGAGCGAGCAGTACAACCTCAGTATTGGGAGAAAATATATTGCCTCATAAAAGCGACGAAATGTCGAGTTATTTTTTAAGTAGTAACATATCGAGTCGTTCGTACTCAGACGATAATTATTTTTCTACAAGTCTTGGAATAAGAATCCTAATGCAAGTCTGCATTCATTTGATAGGTATACATATTTTAATAATGACTTTTGTAAGAATGCGTGGTACATTTATGAAAGTTGGTCAGTCACTATTAGTCCGACGTCAATTGGAAATGGAAAAGCAACTTAAAGAAAAAATGATTCATTCGGTAATGCCACCGAAAGTCGCGGCCTGGTTAATGGAAGAAAGTGAGCGCGAAAGAGAGCGTGAAGATTCTTTAAAGAAAGGGTCTATACCATCCAATAATACGGATATACGTTCACTATTTCGTCCTTTCAATATGCATTCAATGGAAAATGTTAGTATTCTATTTGCTGATATTGTTGGGTTTACTCGAATGAGTTCCAATAAAACTGCAGAACAATTGGTAGGCATTTTAAATGATTTATTCGAGAGATTTGACGATTTGTGCGAAGATCACGGGTGTGAGAAAATTTCTACATTGGGGGACTGTTATTATTGTGTAAGTGGATGTCCAGAACCAAGGCCCGATCATGCAAAATGCTGTATCGAAATGGGATTAGGTAATTTATCCCCTTCCTAATGTTTTGAAAAAGTGTTTTGAAAAAGTAGGTACAAAATAATCTACACATGTTCTTTAACAGCTATGATAGAAGCTATAAAACAGTTTGATATAGAAAGAAGAGAGGGAGTTAATATGAGAGTTGGAGTACACACTGGAACTGTGCTGTGTGGAATTGTAGGTACCAAAAGATTTAAATTTGATGTTTGGTCAAATGATGTGACATTGGCAAATAAGTTAGAAAGCACAGGAAAACCAGGAAGAGTTCATTTAAGTGAAAACACATTACGTTTTCTAAATGATCAATACATTACAGAAGATGGAGATCTGATAAATGGTATATAACTTGTTTAAAATTAATCACAAAAGTTTATATAAGAGAATAGTTTCTGGCGATAAAATAAGGAATATAATTTGTTTTAGGTATAAAGACTTATTTTATCAAAAGTCGGAAATCAGATTTCACCAGTCAATTCATAACTAGTATTATACAATCTCCAAAAAGTATATCTCCTCTGATGCAGTCGCGTCATCGCTTGGCCTCTTGCAATAATCCGTATAGATCGAAAAATCACTACCTTCATATGGTTACTAATGCAAGTAATTATAGAATGAAAGCAAACTCTCTGCCAAGTATTTTAGACTCTGAGAATGGAGATACCGATATTGGGGATGAGAAGGGAAATGTGAATAAAAGTCCAATATCCGTCGCTAGTTACGGTAAGAAAAAGGTGCGAAACAAACCGTGGAAATACTTACAAAGACAACGAACTACAGAAGAAATGACTCCATTAGAAATGGAAGAAGCCAAAGCAATCATTGTCGATCGATCGAAAACTGAATCTCAATCGTATGAAGATCGTAACGGATTTAGGCAGGTCAATCACATCGATAAATATTCTCCATAATATTCGATTGTATTGTCTCATTCGTATATAAGTTTTATTTCTTTACAGAATACATCTCAGAATGACATTGAAATGGATCCAAACCCTGTACCTTCTAGTCCTTTATTATCTGGTCAAGAGCCACTCAGTCGTGCCTCTTCAATGTGTAGTAGAAAAGATTCTGGAATCAGAAGTAATAGTAGGCGTAGCAGTATACAGCAGCAGGTATTACTGTTTGGAAATATAGCGACACAGATAAGATATAAATTAAGTTCGGTTACATTCAGCTTAATTTTCATGTTTTAGTTATTTTTGATGAATGGTATGGCTCAGGGAGACTTACTGGCACATAGAGTGAGTGGCTACTATACTTCTAGTTCGACGTTGAACTCTGTTCATGAGCCGCCGTCTTCAGTACCACCCTATCCGTTTCCTCCAGCAGTTACAGACACTTTTGGTGCATGTTTTCATAAATTAAGAAAACAGTCAGATCTACAATTAATCAGGTTAATACCTAACATTAAAATTTCGTTTTATATGTTTCAAGAAAAGATAACGTGATTTGTATTATTTTGTTTTTATCATAAAGGTGCGTTCAAGATAATGTAAGTTCCCAACGATCATACTTCGTGAAACCACCACTTTCGAGTGTAACACTTTTCTTCAAGGATAAGGAAATGGAAATGGAATACAGGGAGAATGCTCATAAAGTCAACGAATGTATCAGTGGTAATCCTCCCACGCTGGCTACCTCGAGGTTCAATACGTATTTTGATATTTTGATATCGGCACTGGTGTACACTGCCGTATCGGTTGCCTTATTCTTGCTTTGCGAGCCGACATTGTACTATCTGATTTTTCTAGTATGTGCAACTACGATTCAAATTGTAGCGGTGTCGCTATGTGTCCGTCAGCTTTTATCCCCGAATATGGTTCACGCGACATTAACACAGGAAATATTTAAGTTCTTCTCGCAATGGTATCCTTGGCATATTTGCGGTGCTATTCTGGTTGGTTTACCGATCATATCTATACTGCTTAATTACACGTGTAGCAATTTGCATAATTTAGATAATTTCGAGTATTATTATGGATACTTGGTCTTTATTGGTTTAGTGCATTTTTGTAATTTTACGCAACTCAATTGTTGGATGAAGAATTTTCTAGTAACGTTTATGGGCATGTTGTTTCTTTTCCTTGTAATAACTCACATATCGTACAACCAACAGAATCACGGTAATCAATTTGCCAATGATTCATTGCGTCATTTACAATCGTTAGAAAATCAACGGGTCACTAATTTAAGTAATCGAATCAGTGAAACGACTACGAAAGAAGTATTTGACAATACTCTTACTCTTATTCATGAATACAGAACTATACTTACGAGACAACGAGAGGCGGAAATTAAATACAACGAAAGATTGTACAATTCCGAAATTTTTTTAGATATGATACTATTACTGTTATTAGTGTGGTTTTTGAATCGCGAGTTTGAAATCAGTTATCGGCTTAGCTTCCACGGGAACGCAGTTGCGGCACAAGACAAAAGTCGCGTGCAATCGATGAAGAACCAAGCTGATTGGCTTTTACACAATATTATACCGAAATATGTTGCCGATCAGTTAAAAACTACCGCCAAATATTCGCAAAATCACAAGACCGTGGGAATCATCTTCGCGAGCATAGTGAACTTTAATGAACTCTACGACGAGTCTTATTTAGGTGGTAAAGAGTATCTGCGCGTGTTGAACGAGCTCATTAGTGATTTCGACGAGCTTCTGGAAATGCCAGAATACTCGAACGTGGAAAAGATCAAAACTATCGGTAGCACGTTCATGGCAGCGAGTGGATTAAATCCGCAAGTTAGGCAACAAAGTCAGCACGAGTACACGCACCTTTTCCAACTATTAGACTTTGCTATGGCGATGCATAAAGTAATGTACGATTTTAACAGAGATTTGTTAGGTTTTAAATTAATTTTGAGGATCGGTTTTAATTATGGAGACGTTACCGCCGGCGTAATCGGAGCTACAAAATTGTACTATGACATTTGGGGTGACGCTGTAAATATTGCATCTAGAATGGACTCCACAGGAGTCGCCGGAAGAATACAGGTAGCCAAAAACTCGTTGGATGTTCTGTCGGAAAAATATGAATTTGAACCACGCGGCCAAGTTTATGTTAAGGGAAAAGATAATATGAATGTGTTTTTATTAATAGGGAAAAAGGACGATATTAATGCTACGACGAGTGCTTAAAAACTATATGTCTCGAATGTCTAACGATCGAATCGATACGATTTGTCTACGAATTTTTCAATTTTACGTTACACTTCACGTACACCGAGAGCGTACGATCTTTTCTAGGTCAGATTTCTAACGATATTCGCGATAAATCTATCGTCTACGTTGCAAGTAAAAACAAAAGAGTACTTTGCTCTTCAATTGCTCGCTTATTAAAGATATTTATTCTTAAATGAAATGTTCACTGTATTTTTTTACGTAATTTAAGAGCATTGAATGCGAGACCTACCAAAACCTACCTTTATAAAGTACAAAATCAGAGTCGTCTTGAAATTATAAAAGAGAAATTTCCTTTATACATTATAGTACATATAATATACGCGGGACATTTATCGAGTTAATTAGTACGCATAATTGTTGTTTGTGTGCTTTCTGTATGAACGAAACGCGAGTGAGCGAATAAACAAATGCATGACCAAGCAACGGTCATCGTCGACAGTTCCTAGTAAACGTGTGACTTATTCGATAACTGTCTGTTATTTCGTGTACAAAGTATCATTCTAATATTTTCTTTCGTTAATTCCTTCAGTTTCGATTGTGATCGGACAGTTTGCTTGTTTTTACCAATGCGAATAATTAATCAGAATGACTTATATTGTAAACTGCATTTGGAAAAGAGTCGCGTCGTTTTTGAAGTGTCAACAAAGTGTCATAACAAAGTACCTCGAGTTTCATAGAGAGATTAGTGAGATCGAAAATTCGTATTTAATTTCTCAGCGCATTTCTTAAAGAAATAATCTACTAAGAACAGGGCCATATGAATCTAAGTAATTAGAGCAACTGCTGAATTTGCAAACCAATTATCAATTATTATAAGAGATTTAGAGTTCTTCATAAGTCTAGTTTTGTTTAAAAAAAAAGTGCACATAAGGGTGAAATGTCAACGTCAATTTTGGGCCTCATCTTTCAATAAATTGCATTAAGATATTAAAAATCTGTGACTCTGATGAGTATAGAATTTTTGTGATGGGACATTTTGGGACAAACTTGTCACCTATCCATGCTACAATTACATATATTAATTAAGTGAATACGATCCTGGATTATTTTTTATTGACTTTTTACGAGTCTGAGATTAGAAAATGAAAAAGAACCTGTTTTAAGGTTGTTATAATTCTCAAAAACGTAGTACTCAGTAATTCCATGTGATCATAACATTCTGTTCCAGTTGAACTACAATAAAAGCAAATTATTGAAATCCTTTAGTAAAAGTGTCCCAGGATTTACACCAATAATTATCATGTCAAATAATAAAGGCGTGTTTTATAAATTAGCATTCCATCAGATTTTGTTACCTAATATTTATTTTTTCTAAAGTATCGAGAGAAAGAAATATATAAAATGATATTTAAAAAGAAACTAAAA